TCAACTGCATTTGGCTTGCTGACTCTTCTTAGCTCTTTTCGCCTCATTTTTTTAAAAACTATGACTGGCAGGAAGTTTCCGATGTCGAACATAGTGCAAAAAGAGTTAGTAAGTTAGCAAGAGAAGAGACACGCAGTTATAGATAGATCGCAAAGTAAATACGAATAATAAATACAAATACGAACGAAACGAAACAAACGAATAAATACAAAAAAATACGAACAAAAATTAGGTTTTTTTTCAACCAAAACTTTTTGAATTTTCACTTTAACGCGCGTGGAAACCGTGGGGTACAACAACACAATTTAAAAATTCAAATTTTGACTTTTAAAATGACAAAATAAATGACAGAACCAACCAACACAAATCACTGTCCACACCACAGATACCTGTAAATTTCTCTTATCTCCCGTCAGTGTCGCCATCGTTGAATGAAAACCTAACTAAAAACCTTTGTCGCGATTCTTCCATTTGAGATATTTTTCTATAGGTGATATGTTCTGTGACGTAAAAAGACCTGTCACTCAAAAAAGTAAGGCTGAAGACACAATGACAAATACAATTAAGGTACCTACCTACAAGAAACCCAAAAATAATTCGAAAAGGATGGAACGTTTTCTAACCTTAAAAAGTGTAAGTATTGAGTTTCTAGCTATGTTTGTAGGTTTTCTTATTATCTGTAAGTACTGCGTTTATGTTGTCAAAGATATTTTAGTGACAACTGATAGGAGGGTCCCTCAATAATGTCGAATGGCTGAGATACGTTTTCGGATACGAGACTAGGCCTATAACTATGCGGATACAATGAAATGCAACGGATCCACCGTATCTATTCTGCGCGTGCGCAGATCGATGCGAATATGGATACATATAAAAATTCAGGATAAACAAGTAGACTTTCAAACGTATCCGTATCCGCATCGATCTGCACATGCGCAGAATAGATTGTTCGTATCGTTACAGACCTAGCCTCGTATTCATATTCGAAAGAGTATTTCAATCATTTAACACTATCGAGAGATCTTCCTGTCAGTTATCACTAAAATAACTTTAACAACACAAACACAGTACTCATAGATAAAAAGAAAACCTACAAACGCAGCTACAAAATCAATGCAACACTTTTTGTGGTTAGAGAACGTTTTATCCAAGGATACGATCGTTTACGTATTGTATGGCCATGTTTGGAAGGACTTTTAGGCGGTCAACGTAAATTGATGCATTTACGGATGCAGATACGGATACGTAGAAAAATTTAGGGTTTGCTTAAAGTGTCTAGTGGCTATACTGATAACCAACGCTCAGCTATTTACACGCGTAAACTTAATTAGAAATAAATAAATCTCGGCGAAACATCTGAAATCACGGCGCAGACGCTACGTTTTGCACAACGTTTTGTCTGCACAGTTCAACACGTTGCAGACAAAACGTTGTGATCAGTAAGTTGAACCGTAACGTCTGGACCGGGCTTAAGTATGTATCTAAATCGTACTGAAGTCAACAAACGTCATACCAAACGTTTGCCAGAATCTACAGTGTGATACTTATTTGTACCTTTTTTATAAACTTTTTGTTCTCTTGTAGTTTTTTCGTATCACCGACCCTTATCTCTTATCAAGAAAAAAAAAATCACCACACACAAAAGTATTCAATAATATGCGTAATATACATCCATTTTCTATTGATCAATGTGAATGATTACTTATACAGTGAGTTTTTTTTTCTCATTACTTAATTGTTTTCAACCGATGAAAATATCCTGGTCTCATTACTCTACTATTTAAGAGCCAATCAGAAAATTCGACAAGTTGACAACATACGTCAACCTTCCAATTGGTCATTTTGACAGCTGATTTGGACAAGACTTGTGCTAACCTAACCTCACTTTGTCCTCCAGCTGTCAGAATTTTCAATTAATTTTGTGTGTGTAATTCGTGCCTATCATCTATTAATCATAGAAAATAGTATATTAGTCAACGAGAGGGTAATGATGGCTATTACTCACGAAGGATGAAGTTTGCACTATTAGGCATTCCAGGTTAATGTCATAACCGATCCGCCATATTAGTTTGGGGGGCACACAAAAGCCAAACATAACCTGATTCAATGTTAAACCAAGAATTTTCAATCTATTTTGTGAAGATGCCTTCTTTTTGCTGCGTTGTTAGGTGCTCTAGTAGAGCGGAAAGAGATAAAGAAAGGTTTTTCAGGATCCCAGCAGCATTAAGAGATCTAGGGAATCGTCTAAACGAGCTAAAAAAGGAACGACGAAATCTGTGGATTAAATGCCTCAAAAGGAGAGATTTAACTGAAACGTTTCTGAAAAATGCTCGTATTTGTTCAAAACATTTTGTTAATGGTAAGTATTATGACTGTCTTGTTGTTAAAATACAAAAACACATTTATATCGAAAAATTGGTTTGTTTCTACAAGTAGGTAATATTTACTTTTAATACCTTTTAGGTAGTCCAGCAGTACTTGAATAACCCTTTATACGCCTTCAACTGCAAGCCTGTGTAGTAACTGTGGGTGTGGGTCAAATATTCGGATAAATCCAAAATTGAAACCTCTGGCAACTCATTGATACTTAAAGTAAACTCATTAGGTAGAAGTTTATAAGGATCTATATTGGCAATTATTTGTATTTTTTGGTCATACCGACATTTCACATCACTAGCTAACGATGAATAATAGTCAATGTTAGCCATTCTACCACAAAAACAACTTAAAACTTATTGAAAGAATTTAAGAACGCAAAAATTCGGAAACACAATCTGAAAGAACGGTGTAAATACTGATCTAGGCTTTGTTTGCCCCCCAGCGGACCTGTCAAAGTCACGTGACCTGGAATGCCTAATACGAGCCGCAGGCGAGTAGTGTAATCATCCGAGTGACTAATAGCCATTACCCACGAGTAGATACTTTTTCTATGATTAATTGATAATAGGCACGAATTATGCGGTTTTTATTTAATGTTCATAACAAAATTAATTGAAAATTCTGACAGCTGAAAGACAAAGTGAGGTTAGGTTAGCACAAGTCTTGTTAAATCAGCTGTCAAAACGACCGATTGGAAGGTTGAAGTATGTTGTCAACTGATTGGCTCTTAAATAGTGGTGTAATGAGACCAGGATATTTTCATTGGTTGAAAACAATTGGAGTAATGAAAAAAAAAAAAAACTCACTGTATGAGTAATCATTCACATTGATCAATAGAAAATGGATGTATATTAACATATTATTCAATACTCATAGAAAAAGTATAGTATTCTACTCGTGGGTAATGACTATTACTCACGAAGGATGAAGTTTGCGCTACGAGCCGCAGGCGAGTAGTGTAATCATCATTACCCTGTCGTTGAATAATATACTATAGATATTTTCGGATGACTCAAATGAACTCTATTCTAAGTTAAATTTTTTATAACAAAACAATAATTCCGAACGTGCTCTATAAATTAATCAACGACAAACCCCTTTTTCCAAGTTATGACGTCATCGTTGACGTAAGTACGTACAAAAAGTGTAAAAAAATAAATAATTAATTGAAACGTCTGCATGCCACGAAAATCCAACACACTAAAATTATATAACAGACGATAAAACTTGTAAAAAATTATAAATAATTTCGTTGCACTAATTTTTTATATTAGTTTTAGGTAGTGCTATGGTGAAGTTCCGAATGGGGGTGCTAATTTCTGTTTTGGTGGTGCTTAGCACCCCCCTAGTTGCGCCTATGTGGCTAACTAGTGGCAGTATATTTCTTATGGAAATTTTCAGTGACCAGTCAGCCACCAGGTGGTATAGTATTTCCAAACTCAATTGGAACAAGGTACCAACTGGTGGCTGACTGGTCCCCGAAAAGTTCCATAAGTAATGCAGTGCCACTAGTTAGCCACCAGTTATGATTTATGTTCACCTTTTTCCAATTGACTTTGGAAAAACTATACCTTGTTTCAATTGAGTTTGGAGATACTTAAATAGATTTAATTTCTGCCATTTTACATAAAGAAGGAAATTCTGACTGTAAAGAGTAAAAAGAAATCAAAAGACAAACATTGTCAGTGCAACAAAGAACTGGATTAGAAATATTATGTAATTCACTGATTTGAATTCAGTTACCTTCGAACTAAATTTATTTATCCATTAACCATAATACATATTAGTGGTTTGCCTACGTGCAGCAGTTAAAAGCTTATTTTGATTACTTTATACCACATAATTGTTTTATTTGCACACAGGGTGATAATTTGAAAACGATCAATATTAAATCTTTCACAATTCAGTAAAATTGAATGTTTGGATTACATTGTTTGCAAACAATGATAAAACTGTTTCTCCAAAAAATATCGCAGTAGGTACCCTTCAATTATGTTTTTCTCGCAGTTGGTTCAGGTTAGAATTTGAAAATTACAGATTTAAGGGAAGAATCTAGTGGCCTTAAGCCTTGGAACTCAAGTGGCCATTCGACAGGACCTTTTCTCTCAATTCTCTAACTGGGACAATATTGTACATCTTATTATCAGAAATGTAGTAAAGTCTCGTGTAAAGATACATATCCAGGTGCATTTTTTTGATTCTCGAATTCATAGATTATCCAAAGAACTCATAATGAATATAGCCGAAAGGCAAAATGTTGCCAAACCATTCATTTAATTGTTTTTAAGTTTTTTATGGAATAATATGGATATTGTACTTAGGACCGGTTTATTCATCTTCAGATAAACTTGCTGGTATTTGTCTGCAAGATAAATTTACCGTTCTATAATTCTATTGGTCGGCGGATAACTGACTTTATCAAAAGATGAATAAACCGGCCCTTAGACTAATTATCATATCAGCATGTTGTCGTTCCAATTACAACAAATTAATTATTTGCAAGTTGTAATTACCAACAACCGAAGAATGTTGTACAAGAGTTTAAAACAAAACTAGTCACTATACAGTAATTAAATATCTTGTTTTCAAAAAATTCACAAAAAAAAAATATTTTCTAGAACTTGCCTAATTGATTATCTTAGGTAATCCAATCAATGCACCACCAATATCACGATAACTTGGTAATAAAAGAAAAAAATACTTATGTCTATTATAACCCTGAAATCAATCAATTCAGAATAAGCCTAATCTGTGGCAGTTTTCGTTCTTTTATAAGTAAGCGAAAGTAAAAACTAAATAGTCATACAGCCTTTACAGTGGAAATTATTTTGTTGTTATTGGTCAACGCACGGATGATGAGGCATGAGGCCGTTTTCTCGGTTAACTTTTTTTTTTAATAACGCCCCACGTGTTTAGCTTCAAGGCAAATGCGGCATAAAACTATCTATAAAATTAAGGCATAAAGTACTATCTTACCTAATTCTAAGTATTAGATAATAAGTTGACAATTTTCATTTTACATTTTATTGGATAGTTATTAGTCGAAGGTCTTCTAGCTTAGGGAGGAAGAAATTAACTCAGACATCAAATTTAGTTTTAGAGCCTCTTGATTTTCATGCTGTCAACACTATATTATTTACAGAGAATTGCTAAGAAATTGATGATATATTTTGGAGCACAATCGTACATTACATTTAACCCATAGATTGATTGAAAATGTACGTTAGTCAGTTGCAGACAGTACTGACTAATAGGGTCTATATTTTGCAACTCTCTCTTAATATAGGTATATATTTAATTTGAAAATTTGCATTAATGTAAACGACCTAGTTTCATTATTTTTGTGAAGGCGTTAACGGTAACTAATAAAATTTTGTTAGTGAATAAACAGCGAATTATTTAATCATCTAAGTACTAAAGATAAATTGTTTCCTGATGGGTAATTTCAAATTACATTTCGTAACATTTCTGGTAAATATTAAATTAAACTTGTCCAATTGAAAAAAAAGTTTACGACTATTCAGACTTCTCCTAAATCACATGTTTTAGTGAGTAGTAAATCGGTTTCATAACGTTGAATAAAGTCAAATTCAGAACAATCAAAGATATTCTCTAGTTTGCAGCATCGGTAACTCGAATTTGTTTTCTAAGTTCATCATTTGGAACTTCATCCTCTTCTCTCAGAAGACTCTATCAGAGTCAATGTCTGAGCTGAAAAAAGCACTTGATACATTTCAATCCAGTTGTCAATTTCAGAGTTTGGATTGTCTGCCCCAGTTATCATTTCAGGGTCCAAATACCTACACATAGTTTTGTGATTTGTTAGTTTTCATTTATTTCAACCTTAGCCTGATTACTTGGTTGGCAATTTTTAGTTTAATATTTCGCTGTATTACTTATACCAACATGTGGGATAATAAACTGACAGGACGATACATTTTAGCTTTCTTCTCAGAAATCTCAAGGTGATGTGTTCTATAGTTTTCATTGTAATACCTGCACTGTTGAATTTTCTGGAAAATTCTCGGGCATACCAGCTTTTCTAAGTCTTAGCCCAGATTTCCTTTCCATATAGAAAGATCGAATAAGTTGTAGACGTGGTTACAATATTATCACGTAAAAGTTGTATTCAAGGTACTCACCTAATTTACAATAATTGTATGCAAATTAATTCACCAAAAAACTAATTGCGTAATAACGTCCATGCTTTTTATTGGTTTTATTTCTTTAAAAAAAAATTAAAAAATATATTCATGCATATGAACTATTTTACTTAAGCGAACGGTGATCTGACACCGTCTTATGGTAATTGTTGCAGTTAATGTACAAGTTATATACCCAATCAAATGATAATGTCTAATAGGTATTTCGGTTTCAATAAATAGGTAGATATTGGCAGGAAAAATATTTAAATTTATAATAAATGTGAATGCATGCTACTGTTGCTGCTACCACTTTTGTTATAGATTAACTATGAAACTGTTAGAAAAAAAAAAGATAATTAGATGTTTGAGTGAAGTTCTTGACTTCTTCAAATAAAAAAACAAAATAAATTAGATTTCGGAACTGTATTTTTCGTCCCAGTATAGTATGTAAAGCTGCAGAAACCACGCGGGTTAAATAATATACATTTTGAAAAAAGGTGATCATTTCTAATCAATGGCACTCCTCTTTTTAAATATTCAGTTCAATTTCTTTTAAGACGTACTAATTATCGTCCGAGAAGTCCGTATCAATTGCGAAACGCTAGCCTTATAAGAAATTTTATTTACACGACATAAAAATTCACCTACCTACATAAGTATCTCGATCATTTGTAGCCAATTAATAGGTTTGTGAAAAAGCATTAACATTTTTGCATCATTGCTCTTTATAGAAAATGTGATAATTTAATTAGATTTTTTTAATTTGAATTTAACTATTCATATATTTGCTTTTCAGATATTATTGGCGAAGCATTATCCATGGAAATTTGACAGGTTGATCCTCGTATAATAATGACATTTGATAACAAAGTATTTTTCAAATTTCAGGGTTATAAAACAGAAATCCGAGTTGCCAGAATGTGTAAAATATCTGAGTAGATTCAATTCCAAAATATTTTACCAAAATTACATGGTCGTACCTCTACCTGGAAATTTGGAATATCCAAAAAACTAGGGGTGCGCTCGGCTTTTTACCTGACTGATACAACGCGACTTTTCTTGTTATCGGTGCTCCTCAATTATTGTAACTGTTTTCTTGATATTTTTTTTATATAAATATTATGGTACAAGAGGCTGTTCATCTTAGAAGAAGATGGAACTCGATGAGACAAAATTCCTCCCAAGTTGACTCGAAAGAGACGACATAATATTATGGCAAAGCTGCCGGAAGTTATTAAACAAACTGCGAAAACAGAATCCAAATTCTGGAATCTCTTTTTCAGTAAAAAGAGATTGTTGAGTACACGAATAAATACATAGAAATTAAAAAACCGAAATTCAGCAGATGGTTCAATTTTTTATCAATGATTTAGTACATGCGATGTATCTCTGTGATGCAGCGCGACTAATGATGTTATAAAAACTGGCGCGGCTAATCTAATGGAAGGTTAAACTATACCTACCCCAATTCAATTATTATTCCCTGAAGAACCTCTGGTTTGCTTTTCTCGAAATAGCCGTAACATTTTATTATTTCCTATTTCCCTTAGTTTCTCTTGAGAAATTATTTTGGGCATATTAAATATGGAATAAAGACAATGCCGAATTTTGAAAAATGTCGATGGATTTTGCAGGTATGCAGAATAGTAAGGTACCGTTTATATATTCTATATTGCACTATTAAAAAATATATCGTCAAATGTGTCAAATTTGATTGGCCAGATAGGCCAGAGAATTTTAATACTACGACACTCACGAAACTATGTGAAATACACTTAAAACTGTCTGGAATTTGACATATACTGTCATTATTATACGAGGGTCAACTTGCCAAATTTCCATGGATAATGCTACGCCAATAATATTTGAAAGGCAAATAGCTACAGAATGTTACATTTTTCATATGAAAAAATTTGCTCGATCCCGACTCCACAAATGATCCATAGAGATACAGAAACACCAACAACTTCAACAGAAAAGAAGAGGGCATGAACCTCAACAACTTACGCAAGAAAAAGGCCCATTCTCTAGGCTCCCTTGCTTTTCTCCAAAGATGTAGACGGAACGAGCCTTGATTCGGGAACGGATTCACCAAACCAGGAAACACCGAGCAGCTAGGATAAGGATCTTCTATCGATTAACCAAAGGTTATCCAACAGCATGCACTAGAGTGACTGGGACAAAATTGACCGAATGATGTATGATGCTATGGAAGCCACACAGCGAAAATAACCAAGAAACTGATAAACAAGTTTGAGTCCTGTATTATTATTTGGAAGTAATAAATAATGCCAATCTGGAGTCTTTAAAGCTTTATTTTAAAGGACCACAAGAGACAACCAAAACTATTACAACTCGGTTGACAACATCTTGACAAAGACTGTCAATAACAGAATCACCAGTCAAATATGCACTAAGCAACCTAAACCAATTCTACTTAATAATACATCCTTCCTCTTAAAGGGGGTGTGACCCAAAAATGAAAGTTTTAGTGCAAAAAAATCTAAGAATAAATATTCAAACCGCATCTTTCTACGATGGTCCGTTTTCGAGTTAGGGCGGTTTAAAGTTACAACTAGGCGTTTGTGACGTCACATTAGATTTTCAGGGACAGTATTAACACGTGTGAGAATTCTCCAAAACAAAATATAATTATCTCCTAGAGCGAATTGCAACCACTCAAAGTATAGACTGACGACTGAACTACAAGAAGACTGCGATTTCGGCGGTTGTGACATCACAATTTCCTGCATAATTGATCTTCACAAGGAATTTTCTCGGAGACTATTTTGAATACAGGACTGCGGTTTTCACGAGGGATCTTAGAATTTTTTTCTTGATTTAAGTAGCTTAAGTCGTTTTTTAGGGTTAAAGGGGGTGTTTTAAGGATTTTACTAATTTAATTTTTGTACAGGTTTAGTGGTGCGACCTGATCTTGTTGTATAGGTTTTTTGAAGAGTGGGTTCTGGGTTGGACTTTAAACTAAATTCAACATCAGGAACAACACTAGATCTAGCACTAGACTTAACATTATCCTTAAACACACAAGGACTTTGCAATGGATTTTGAATAACAGGACACTCAGTAGATTTGTGAGACTCCAGAGGTTCTAAAATTTCATTTGAACTCGATTTGATATTAAAATCATTTTGTGATTCTCTCAAATCTACTCGATTTCGTCTAACAATTTCTCCATTCTCAGTCTGAACAATAAAGGAACGACGACTTTCATGCTTCTTTACAATTTGGCCAGGCTCCCACCTTTTTGTAATGTGATTGAAGAAAGTGACATTTTGACCTGGATCAATATCTGGCAAAGATTTTGCATTTCTATTGAAATAGGATTTATTGCGATTCAATCTGCATTGGAGTTTATCAGAAATATTATTGCAAAGTGTTAGCTTTAAAAGGTCAGCAGAAATGGGAATTTTTGTTTTACAAGTGCGACTCATTAAAAGCTGAGCAGGGGAATAGTTAATAAATTTCAATGGAGTGTGGCGATACTGAAGAAAAGCTGCAAACATATCTTCTCCTTCCTCAAGAGATTCCTTAACTATACCCTTTGCTATTCCAACACCTTTTTCCGCTAAGCCATTAGACTGCAGATAT